TGTGTGTGAGAGAGAGAGAGAGAGAGAGAGAGATGGCATTAGACAAAGAATCTTTTTGCCACAGAAAATTGTTATAAGGATGTTTAAATTTTTATTTTAGAATCGTTTATAAACTTGATTAGAATATTATATATAGATTTGTCAGAATAAGATAACAGATTGCTGATGTTAACTGGAAGGCTAATATTGAGATCAATTAAACCTAAATATAGTCTTCGAGTCTGTTCCCTATGATTAGAGCAATCGAAAAATAAGTGATTCAAATCTCCGATAGATTTCTTATTACATGGACAGAAAGGAGTTTCATAGATTCCAATCCTATGCAGATGCTCTGGAAAGAGGCCATGGTTCAGTTTTAGCCGCGTTATTAACGAAGAATGTACTTTATTAAATTTAAGATAGAAATGGGGAATATTTTTTGGTAAGCATGGGTGAATAGAAAAGTAATGGTTTCTTGAAGTCTTCTGAACCTCTTTATATTTTGACATCCATCTTTCCCTGCCAATACTCCTGATAATAGAAAAAAGATCTTTAAAGTAGTAAAAATTTGTAATTTCGGATATCTCAGATGTATTTTTTGCCATACTGTCCACCAATTCGTTTCCAATTACTCCATTGTGTCCTTTAACCCAGAGAAAAGTAACTGATTTGTTTGTGAATTTTAGATCATACAATAATTTTTTGATATCAAGTATAATGGAGTTTTGAAAACTGTCTAATGGATGGCTACGAATAGCTTGTAATACTGCCTGAGAATCTGATACTATTACGATGTTCTCACAATAATTAGTGACACACCAAGATAGTGCTTTCTGTATAGCAGCAGCCTCGGCTGTAAAAATAGAACAATATTCAGGAATTCGATATTTCTCAACATAGTTGCTGTTTGAAACAAAAAAAGCGAAACCAGTACTTTCAACAGTTTTTTATCCATCTGTATAAATTATTGAGCAGATAGCTATAATATTTGATGAAATGGCGATTATGCCAAGTCTTCAGTACAATAAGCATAGTAGGTGTATAGAAGGTTTTGAAGATATGGGAGGTGACAGAGATTCATATATAGCAGATCATGTTCTAGTTTTTATGGTAAGAGGTTTTAAAAAACCGTGGAAATCACCTATTTTATACCAATTTTTTAGCAGAGGTGGCGTAAAAACCCTTCAAATTAAAAACATGTTGGTGGAAGTCATTTCTAATTTCTTAGAAGCCTCAGCCTGCTATGCAAAAAGATGTGTTGCGAAGGAAATCTTTAGCAACTTCCAACATATAACATATTTTTTGTTGTTCGGGTCTCATCTTCAATATGGTCTTCTTTTTTGGTGTTCTAGAACAGCTGCCCCAATCTGATTATGTTTTTAAATTTCAAAAAAGAGCAATACAATATCTTTTTAGCCTCAGTAGAATAGCATATTGCAGAAACTACTTCAAAACTCACGGGATTTTAACTCTTCTCTCTTTATATATTTTAGAAGGTGTTTGCTTAATTCCTAAACACCTACCTGTTTTTCCAGCAAGACCTAATCATGACTACTATACCAGAAATTCAACCTTTGATTTGTATTTACTGAACCTGTCCACAGTTAGTAAAGAAATCTATATTATATTCAGTAAAAAATTATACAACCATCTCCCTTTGCAACTTAAATCTGTAACTTCTTTCCTTAAGTTCCGTAAAAAGACAAAAACCTATCTATCTGAAAGACCATATTATTCAGTAGAAGAGTTTCTGAACAAATAGCTTTATGTACAAGTTGTTGCAGTTTCGCAACTGTATATAAACATTTGTAAAAGAATAACAGACTTTTTGATAGTTTCGATTCTCCCCGTATATTTAAACTGAGATTTGCCTATACGAAAAATACAGCTGTTTTAAGAACTAATTTAAAAGAACGAGGCATCTGCGAAAGATCACCACACGTGTGTGTATAAGTTAAGGGTTTGAATTCCATCTAGAAAAGGAGAGTCGAGTTTTATCTCTCAAACGATGCACATGTGTATATGCGTTTGGGTTAAGAGTACCTGACTTCTTAAAGACTACAAATTTGGAAGGAGATAGACTACAAATTTGTGGTTCCCGTTGTTCGTCGGTGAAGACATCTTTGCGATAGCCGAGGTGCTATCTTTTCATGGGGTAAAGTACATATACACAATATATACACCATAATTTTGTTGTTGGATGGGCTAAGTACGTATTTTGTGCCCCAATATCACATATTGTATCGCGGTTTTTGAACTTTTTACATTTGTTGGCGACTTTATTTTATTGTGCTGAACTTGTGTCGCCCGTTGAGATTATTTACGTTTGCTTACAGATATTTGACTGTATCTGTAATTATTATGGACTTGTTTGCATTAATAATTTTATTATTAATTGATAACTTATTATATGGTACTAATTTCACTATTCTTTTGTGTTTTTATGAGTTTACTAATTGCATTACTTTTATTATTAATTTAATGTGTATTTGATTACCGGATATATTTTTGAATTGATTTTATTGAATTGTTTTTATATCATTGACATATATGTCAATATTTTTATGTTTAATATATTTTTATGTTTATTACATGGCATAAATATGAAATTATTTTACTGCTTTCGGTCAGTAGTGTTTTGTTAGAATCGACATTTTTGTTTTGGTTTGTTTATTGTTATCTTTTGGTGTTGTTTCATAGTAACTAATATTTAATGTATATATTCTTCTTTAGTTGTAATTGTACATTTGGTTCTCTATATTTATGTTTTAATTTCATTGCTTTTTTAAATAGAGTTTTATACAGTCCGCTGGCTTTGATTTCTTTTCTTTATTTTAATATACATACCCAATCTGAAAGGGGGAAACCAGCGAGTTCTAGATTGAACATAATACATTCTCTCCCCCTTCAGGATGACCCCAATTGTTATAATGAAGTCATCGTGTGTGTAGAACGCAACACAAGTAACTTAAGTATTTGTATAAATATATAGTCGGTCAGATAGCTCAGCGGGCTGTGCGGCTGCCTCTCATTCGCTTTACTGTCGAATGGTTTAGTGGATGTGGGATCGAGCCCAAGCTCGGTGTACAGAAAACAAAAAGTCTAACGCAGCAGTTTAAAATTCTAGATGAATCTGCGGCTTAGACTAGGATATGCTGGGATCTGATCGGCCTATGGTGGAGCAGTACGGCAAGAGATAAGGGCTTGCGGCTCGGTGATACTCCTCCATAGATCCCTACCGGACAGGCGTAACGCCTAAAAACCGGATATATATATATATATATATATATATATATATATATATATATATATATATATATATAATATATATTTTGAGTATCACATGCAGCAACTTAAACTATGCAATTTATGTAAATTTTGCAATATATTGTACATTTTATTATCTTTTATTTTGTAATATTGATGATTTATGTAATTTTAGTAAATTTTAAATTGCTATTTTTCTGACTTATTTTAAGCTTTGTCCATAAAATTGTACAATTTTCAGTGGTAATTTCTATTGTATTCTAATTGTATATACAAAGTTGTTTTACAGGTATTAAATAAATAAATAAATTACATTTTGTCTTATTTTTTCGTAAATGGTATTGTGTATATTTGGAAGTTAAAAATAATTTGCACAGTTTGAAATTTCAAATGCAATTTTTTTTTTCAAATATACCAGATAAAATTAAATATTTTAAGCTGTATTTAAATTTTCCCACTAAAATTAAATTTTGAAATTCCCGCGTAATTTCCCACTTGAATTAGTTCCGTTGCAAATCTCTTAGAGCACTGAATTTCATATCGAACTAAAGTATTGTCGTGAAGCATCTAGAGGTAGGCAATTTGTGGTTTCACATCAAAAGGTTATAAAAGGGTGGCACAATAGGTTTAAAAAAAAAGGGAGTCAACTGCATTGGATCGAATAAAAAGAAGACTTGTTTAAGTACCTCGAATTATTGTAAATGCAAGTAAATGATTCATTTACTGATTAAATTACTTCCTAAAGCAAGTTTTATTACTGATAGATGGCATCACTGCCTTCTACTGTGTCAACGATATGGCGTTACATGTGATGTCATCACTTTTTTATGTATATGTATTTGCGAGCTCTGTCCGCGCCCGTCCATCCGGTCACATTGTAGTACACCAGTGCCGTACCGAAAAGGTTAATATTCTTGCAAATTTCGAAAGAGGTCCATTGAAGATGAAGACTGATCAGGAAGGCCAATTACTGATGATAACACCCCTGTAAACTTTGATACAGTTCATAAAATAATTTTATAAGACGAAATCCACTATCCACTGAGGAAGTACTACATATAATGGGCAAAGAGTGCGAACTAGTCGTAACTAAAATGTTGCAAACTAGAATACCTGGGCCATATAATGCGCAATGAACAACGATATGACCTACTTCGGACCATACTTCAAGGTAAAGTGCATGGGAAAAGAGGTCCAGGACGGAGAAGAATATCCTGGCTGCATAACCTGCGAAAGTGGTTTAACTTAACCACTACCGGACTTTTCAGGGCAGCAGTCAACAAAGTCAGAATAGCCATGTTAGTGTCCAACATCCGTAACGGATAGGCACCATAAGAAGAAATCCACTATATGAACACCTCTCTTAAAACTATTCCTGAATAAATTTCACTGTTCATGAGAATTTGGGATGCTATGCTAAACAATGCGATGTTCAGTAAGCTTTACACTTTACAGTGCCAGACAAATGGGCCCGTGTCTCTAGAGAACCATATTCCAGTACAAAACTTATGTACAATTTTTAACAGTCACTCCTAATCATTTCTTTTACTGTATCTGTTGTTACTCTTTTTCTTAAAGGGTTATGTAAAGGATGAATATGACCTGTGAAGATTTTTAAATATCATAGCGATACCAAAGCTATAAACAAATTTATAGGAATCATATATCATCAAATATAATATATAATCAAAAAATATTGTTTAACCATTTAGGTATATAAAATTTATGCTAATGACACTACTATATTTACTTACATTGTCCTCCTCTTCACTATCGTCAAAATCAATGAATTCCTGATAAGCCTCGTCAAGTTTTTCCTGAAATTTTATATTATTTATTTTCCATATTAATATGAATATTGAAAGCTTACCGCTCTGCATTTTTTTAATGTTTCTTCTAATTTTCTCAAATCCGCTTCATCATCCATCGTATAAAAACAAACAAAAGTATTCTAAAATAAGCCGGAAAGCCTGAATTAAAATTATATACCCTTAACACTTTCAGTTTATTATTGTTTATTATCAAAAAACAAGTTGTCAAAAACTGTCATTGTCACTTTGGGTTTTTTAATTATGATAGCATACAACAGGCGAACAGTCACAGAAATTATTTAATCTGTGTTTACAGTAGGTCACAAGAACGGTTGATCTGTGTTTAGTGTCCGTGGGTCAATGTTGCTTAAAATGCTTGTTTGATGTTTGACGTTTGTTAAACTAGAAGAAGGAATAGCCATGGTGTATTTTGTCATTTTGTGTAATAACCATAACCTCAAAATTTCAATCAATTTGATTTGATATGAGTGAATGGATTTTAAAAAAATAAATCTGAATGCTTATTAATTAGATTTTATATAGAATAAAAAATGAATTTAAATAAATTAAACATAATATGGAGGTATATATGTTGTATTTAAATTTATAAAACAATAATTATGAATATTTTTTAGGCAAAATTCATCCAAGAAAAATCTATTATTTCCAGTGTGTCACCAAAAGTATTCATATGCCTACAAAAGTACGGGAAAAGACAGTAGTTCAAGTAGTAGCAGTAGCAGCTCTAGTTCAGATAGTGATCTAGGTTTACCATCTAAACAAGACACAGAAAATAAAAATAAAGAAACTATTAACAAACTCAATAGTCTTTTACAACAATTAATTCAAGTGAGTTATATAGAGGTACGTTTTGAATAAAATTTTGACAGTTTTTAAATTTTTTAGAATGATGAGGTTGCTAAGAGTTCCAACTTAGTGTTGGCTAGACCAAAAAATAAGAGACTTTCAAAGGAAGAAAGGCAAGCAAAAAGAGTAGAAAGCGTTGGTAAGTTTTAGAGTTTTAAATGTAGATAAAGAGACTATCATTATTCTAGTATGAATCCTCAAGTTTGGTATGATATGGCGTTTTACACAAGTACCAGTATCATATTTTGTTGATTGAGACATATTTTTAAATATTGTTTGACACCAAGTTTTGTATTTTAATATAATTACGCTTTTCTCACATTTTCACAATGATTCTAGTTTAGACTGTCTATCATCAGCATATAACACTTCTATCTATTATAGTATATGTACATGCTTCATTACCCAAGACAAAATTGAGTTTCCCATTGATATTTCTCTATATTTGTGTGATGTATTGGCAACCCTGCAGTGCGGTTACGTCACAATCAGCTGAGAAAACACTCAGGAAGACAGACGCGACGATGACCTACTTAATATATATTTGTTATTTGCATTACGTTTTGGAGTGATCATTAAAGTCGGTAGTATTTCCTATACTGTGTTTATGTTTACAACCGGTCCGATACATATTATTTGGCGACGAGGATGGGATCCGTGTGTGTGCCAGTTTAAGTGCATTATTTCGTCCCGGTGATAAATAAAGCAAAGTGTGTGCAGGATGGCGGCATTCGGAAACATCGAACAGTTTAACGTGGGTGACTCCAAAGGTTGGGAATCATACGTCGAGCGTATGGATTTTTTCTTCTTGGCAAATAACATTACAGACCCTGATAGGAAAAAAACTACATTTTTAAGTTTGTGTGGTCCCAATACATATGAGATTATTAGATCTTTGGTCGCGCCGTCCAAAGTGTCTGATAAAACTTATGACCAAATCATAGTTGAATTAAAAAAGCATTTTTCTTCAAAAACGTCGGAAATTGTGTGCAGGTTTAAGTTCTATCGTCGGAATCAACAGACTGGTGAAACAATATCTGTGTATCTGAAGGAATTACGAAAATTGGCAGAACCCTGTGGTTTCGGAACTAGCCTTGACATAATGCTACGTGACCGACTCGTTTGTGGTATTACCGACGAATCGCTACAGCAAAAGTTGCTAGCCACAGATAAGTTAAAACTTAAGGACGCGCAAGACCTGTGCCTTGCACACGAGGTGGCCGTGGAAAGTTTGGCAGTTCTACGAGAAACTGAGTCGAGCGCAGATGTAAACGCGGTAAGTTTTCGTAAAAATCAACCGGGCCAGTTCAAACAATTAGCTAATCGCGAAAGGAAAAAATGTTTTCGGTGCGTAAAAGAACATTCTCCCGAAACTTGTGAACACATTAAATCAACCTGTGCATATTGCAGGAAAGTTGGACACATCGAAATAGCTTGTTTTGCAAAAAAGAAGAATCAAAATTACAAACGCAAAGTACATCAGACTACCGTGGAATCTACGTCCAATACCGAGCTTGTTTCGGGGAACACTCAGAGTGTTTTTTATCAAAGTAGTGACTATGAATTTACGTTAAATAACGTGACGTCTGATAGCATTACCGGTAAATATTTAGTAGATGTGCTACTCAATGACCAAAAAGTGAAAATGGAGGTTGACTCGGGCGCGAGTTATTCAGTGATAAGCAAATCAACCTACCATGAAATCTTTAGTGAAAATCGACCTAAAATAGATAAATCCAGTGTTATTTTAAGGGACTATCAAAACACAGTGATACCCACACTGAGTAAGTGTCAAGTGGAGGTAAAGAGAGGTCCAAGATCAGCGACACTTCCTCTCATAGTCACGGAAGGAAATCGTGCCAGTCTACTCGGCAGAAACTGGTTTGATAGTTTAGGTTTAACCATAGCTGGGGTAAGTCAAATTTTATCAATGATAAATTATACAGAAGAATACCCAGATGTATTTAATACAGATTTGGGGTCTTACCGGGGTCCCCCAGTAAGTTTTTCGTTGGACAAAAATGTAAAGCCGATTATGTGTAAAGCTCGTAAAGTTCCATTTGCGCTAAAAGATAAAATCGAAGTTGAACTGGACAGGCTTATTGCGAAAGGAGTTTTAGAGCCGATTACGCACCCAAAATGGTGCACCCCAATTGTGACTGTTTGCAAAGAAAACGGTGAGGTTAGGATTTGTGGTGACTACAAATCCACATTGAATTTAGCGTTAAATCCGGAACCTTATTCAGTGCCATCGGTACAGGGTATCTTATCCACACTTGCGGGCGGTAAAGTTTTTGCAAAACTGGACATGGCGCAAGCTTATCTGCAGTTAAGTGTCAACCGCGAAGCTGCTGAAGCACAAACAATAATTACGCATAAAGGGGCTTTTAAATGCAATCGTTTACAGTTCGGTATATCAGTGGCTCCACAAATTTTTCAAAAATTCATAGACACTCGATTAACGGGTATTCCTGGTGTACTACCTTATTACGATGACATTTTAATAGTTGGTAGCTCAGAAACAGACTTGGATTCAAAAGTGCGCGCGGTATTATCGCGTTTCCAGGAAGACGGACTGCATTTGCGCAAAGAAAAGTGCGTTTTTCGAACAAAAACTATAGAGTTTCTTGGTTTTCAAATTAGTGAAGACGGTTTACGCCCCACTAAAGACAAAATCGCGGCCCTAACTAATGCGCCTGCGCCAACCAATAAAACCGAGTTGCAAGCTTTTCTTGGACTTTTAAATTTTTATCATGTTTTTCTAAAGGACAAAGCAACAATTGCGAATCCGTTACATGCACTGCTCCGAAAAGACGTTCCCTGGCAGTGGCGTTTTATAGAACAAAAAGCTTTCGATTTACTAAAAGAAATTTTAGCGAAAGAACCTGTGTTAGGGCATTACAATGAACAAAAAGATTTATTTTTGACGTGTGATGCCAGCCCTTACGGGGTAGGTTGTGTGCTTAGTCAACGTGATGATGAAGGACGTGAATATCCAGTGGCGTACCATAGTCGTACTCTATCATCTACTGAACGAAATTTCTCCCAAATCGACAAGGAAGCACTGGCCATAATATCGGGCATTAAAAAATTCCACGAATATGTATATGGCAGGAAAATAGGCATAAGAACGGACCATAAACCATTGTTGGGTATTTTTAATCCGAAAAAGGGTGTTCCAGAGATACTGTCACCCAGAATGCTTAGATGGGCTCTTATGTTATCTGCTTATGATTATGAATTATGTTACGTACCAGGTTCAAAAATTCAGAATGCAGATGCTCTTAGCAGATTGCCACAAAAGGTACATGCGCCAGAACCACCAAGCTCAGATGACGTTTTGATGCTTGAGAACATCCCAGAAAAACTAATCTGTGCCAAAGACATTGCCAATGAGACTAAGAAAGACCCAGTGTTATCTAAAGTTTTGCAGTGGGCTTGGAAAGGTTGGCCTGATCAGAAAATTAAATTTTCAGACGAATATACTCCTTATCTACTACGTAAAAACGAAATTAGCTGTTATCAAGACTGCCTGTTATGGGGTACAAGGGTAATAGTTCCACTAGGAGGGAGGAAAACAATACTGAATTTGCTACACTCAGCACACCCCGGAATTGTAAAAATGAAGTCACTGGCACGCTCATATGTTTGGTGGCCAAATCTCGACAAACAAATCGAACAGCTAGTAAATACATGCAGCGAGTGCCAGGAGTCTAGAAACATGCCAAAAAAGGCTCCAATCCATCCGTGGGAGTGGGCCAGAGCTCCATGGACAAGAATACACCTCGATTTTGCCGGTCCATTTAAAGGCAAAATGTTTCTGATTATCATAGACTCGTACTCGAAGTGGCTGGAGGTTAAAATCGTTCCAAATACCTCTAGTGTTGTGACTATAGATGTATTACGTGGTTTATTTGCCACTCACGGCATCCCAGATGTCGTCGTATCTGATAACGGAACTTGTTTTACGTCAGCTGAGTTTCAAGATTTTTTAAAGAAAAACCTTATTAGACAAGCATTGGTTGCACCATACCATCCAAGTAGTAATGGGCAAGCGGAACGCATGGTACAAAATGTAAAAAATGCACTAAAAAAAATGACAGATAGTAATGAAGAAACTAAAATACAGTTAGCATTGCACAGATATCTCCTTACTCAGCACATTACACCCCATTGCACAACAGGGAGATGCCCATCAGAAATATTAATGGGGCGAAAATTGGGCTCATTATTTGATCGTTTACAGCCTGACTTTAGAAAAGAGATGTTATCTAAGCAAGAGATGAACGATTCTTACAAAACAGTACCCAGATGTTTTCAAGAAAACGACACTGTATTTGCAAGGTCATTTGCTCCAGGTGGTCAAAAGTGGCTTCCTTCCAAAATAATTGAAACCACTGGACCGTTAAGCTACAAAGTTCAAACCCCCGATGGTAAAATTTTACGTCGTCATTCTGACCAAATCAGAACCCGTGTGTGTGACCAAGAAACAACAGACGAAGTTACACCGTCAACCTCGATGGAAAGAAAATTACTCGTAACTCCGCAACCGTTGTTTCTGCATCCAAACGAATTTGTGGACCAAGAACCAGAAATTGTAGAGCACGCCGCTGAAGTTAAAAAGCCACCTGCTCGAATAAGAAAACCTCCAAGGTATTTGGAGGACTATGATGAGTAGATTCATCCAGGAGGGAGGAGTGTGATGTATTGGCAACCCTGCAGTGCGGTTACGTCACAATCAGCTGAGAAAACACTCAGGAAGACAGACGCGACGATGACCTACTTAATATATATTTGTTATTTGCATTACGTTTTGGAGTGATCATTAAAGTCGGTAGTATTTCCTATACTGTGTTTATTGTTTACAACCCGTCCGATACATATTAATTTGTCACATTCCCAGTGTTTGTCACAGTATGAGGATTTCACTCATACTTTTTAAGGGAATGTTCACAAAGTGCCAACACCATCTACTCTTGACTTATGTCTTGCTTTAGCTGCATTTTTACATATTTTTATTAAGGTCTTATTAATACTTAGCATAACAGCAAACTGAAGAGAAATTGTATCAACCAGGAAGTTAGTGAAACCTGTATGTGTTTCTTATGTTCACATTGTAAGAATAAAAATATGTTGCAATTGCACTGATCCAGCCAATCACCCATCTTCTACTTTTAGCCTAAAAAACACATGATTTATCCCATTAAAGGATTTACTGAAATCAGTATAAATAGCATACATTTGACTACCACTCCCTATTGAATGGATTATATCATTTTGGAATAACAAGAGATTAATTACTGTGGTAATAACAGTGAAAAAACCATACTGCTCATCAATGATAATATTCTTACAATGCCAAGAAAGAAATTTTGTCATAAGTAGTTCAAACAACTTGAGAATCACACTAAGCTTGCTGATTGGACAGTAGTTTTTAGACATTAGACTTGTCATTGTATTTATGTACTGGTGTGACAAAACTGTTTTCCATGTGTTTGGAAAAATTTCATTTATAAGTGACTTATTAAACAACATTCAAATGGGTTTACTCAAAATTGAAACACACCTTATAGAAGTGATCTTATCAATGCTGTAGCTCAAATTATCTTTTAAACTTTGAATACCTGAGAATATCCTTTCAGAAGTTATATTATAGACAGAAATGTTAACAGCAGCTAAATGATCAGAATTATAAAGGTTACCAACATTCAGGTCTTCATTCAAAGGCTAGAAAGTAGCTATTCCTGATTCAGTATCACAGCACTTTGTCTAAGAAAAAAGATTTGGAATACCATAGTACTTTCTAAATTAGTTAATGAAATTCCAGAATTGTTTGGAATCAAAATGAATATTTTTCATTGAGACCATAAATTAAAATAAACTGTGTAGTAGTGTTGGGAATAAGAATTTTATAAGTTTATATGAGCCATATTTGTTTTTAATACGATGTGTTTAGATAGGGAGCATACCATAGAGAAAAGATAGAAGAAACAATATTTTTAATACGAACAAAATTTGCAATATTATTATTCAATGCCTAATAAAAAAAATTTATGGCAGTTTCAATATTATTCTCTACAATAATAATTAAATCCTAATAGGCAAGTTCAAAATAATCATTAAGAGCACAATAATCAGCATTTTTAAAGTTCATATATGATTCTGTGTATGAGAGCCCATTGAAAGTAGTACCTAAACAAATATCACATTCAATTTCAGTTTAAAAAAAATTATTTACCAATATTTAATCAGAGGCTTAAACTAAAGTTACTGAATGAGGATGATCACAAAATAACAAATCTAAGAATACATTATGGGAGTTATGTGTGGGGTTAACTTGTTTTAAATCTAGAAAAGAGAAATATGCATTTATAACAGTAGCATCATAACCACGGGCAGTGCGTGAGTAAACCATCTTCATCCAGTGAATTCCACAAAGTCAAAATTATAATCTCCAAATAAGTAGAGCAATGAATCAGGGTTCTTTGTGACAATATTTTCAATTGTAGTACAGTGAGTCAAATATATGCTAATATCAGATCTTGGTGGAATATAATTTGCACCCAAGTTGATATTTTTGTCACCAATATTAAGTTTAATAAAAAGGTGCTCCACTGTTGGAATAACCGTAAGCTGATGTACAATGAAACACTGTTTGATGGCCACAAGTACACCTCCTCCTCTTAAGGTTGATCTTCACCCACAATTAATTTGTTTCTGATCCTAAAGATGACTCTACTGTGGCATGCTACTCGGGTACATTTTTTAACTTAATTGTAGATTTCTACATGACGACTCTATAATATTTTCAAACCCTAATATAAATTACAGTTTTCTATCATTATATCCATTGACTGAGTAGACAGTAATTTTATCAAATAGGCTATAACTTATACACTTACAAGTAGACCAAGTTAGCAAAGATATTTTTAACAACATCTTTATGTATAATATTTTACTGTTCTGCTGTGTCAATCTGAATCTCAAAGTCTCATTCACACATATCATTGAAAAATGATCTATATTTATTATCTAAACATTTTTATCAACATGCAATCATATATTAGATTTTTGTTGATAGTTAAAAATTAAATTATCTGTTATTATTAAATATTTTAGTGGGAATTATATGAAAAATGGTCAATCGTCAAAAATGTTATTTAAAACATACAACATGTCTTCTTTTTATTACTGGTTTCAGGTTTGTTATCTTCCTAATTAGTGCGTCTTCTTCTCTTCTTTGTATGTGCTCAAACTATCTCAGTCTTTGTGGATTAAAAAATTTTACTATGTTTTCCCCTTTCTATCTCTTATTTCATGCTTCATTAGTCTTCTATATTCTCCTTGTTCAGGCTTTATTGGGCTGTTTATTCTTATAATTTTTACTTTTTCTTTATCTTTTTTCGTAAGACATATTATTACTTTTGCTCCATATGCTATCACTGGTCTAATTCCTGCTCTATATATTTTTTTCTTTGTTTTTTGCTGTTTTTTTGTATCTTTAAGTAGTGCGTGATATTTCCAAATTACAACGTTCTTCTCTTGCCTTATGTGCGTGGTAGTGTCATGCGTTAGATGTATGATTTGGGGTTGTCGATGCGTATTTAGTTATCACGGTTCTATTTGGTATAATTAGTTCTTCAGTTTCCGTATTCGACCACTTTATAACGCCAAATGTGAAAAGTGGTATTGCGTATGTGTTTATTGCTTTTACTATGTGCTTTTAATTAAGTTCGCTTTGGAGTATTAATATTATTATTATTATAATACAATGATTTCGAGCCAAAGCAGAGCTTATGTGGCCCAAATTACAAAATATTTGTATGTACTAAACTAAATAATATAATATAAATCAAATTTTCTCACAAAGTAAAAATAAAAATAATTTTCAAAAGAATTAGTACTTACAAAAAGTTCTTGCAATAATAGCAAATTACAAATATACAAATATTACAAAGAGTATACAAGATTACAAAAATTATTCTAATGAAGAGAAATCATACCAATTATATTCTTACCATTTTATTAGTTTTCAAAAGAAAAAAATACAAACAGTATAGTTAACATAAGACTAGGTACAAGATTCTGTTCGTTTTCATCAAACGTGTTTTTGAAACTATTTAAACTAGTAGCTTCTACTCTAAAAACAAGTCCGGAGACATTCTATGAAAACTACTTTTGCTATTTGAGTAGACCAACCTACAACAAGATTTAATAAGAATGTTATCGGTTTGAATGAATTTTATTTGGCATGCTAGAACTTACAGAATAGTAGATACTGTACTATTCCATCTACAAGTAATATATCTATAAAAAACGTATTTAGTTTTTAAAAACCTATTTAGGCGTTTAAAAGTAAAAACCTACTTGAATATATTCATCGGTGTTATTGACTAGCTCAGTCCAAACAACTTGATTACATGCGATGGTGAGAGTTTCTCTAAGGATGGCACCTTCGACTTCTTGTCTTGGGATGACGATTTTACCTGATGTTTCTTTTACTGTAAATTTGACTTGTATAATTGTTTAGGACTCTTGGTGGACTATATAGAATTGGGCTTTATTTGTGGCATAGTAATTAATAGGAAGAATAAAATGCGCTGTAGTAAGAGTAGCTTGGGTAGAATCGAGATTTGCTTTTAGAAGTCTTAATATTAAGACCATCAAATGTCTTGTGAACTTTGAAAATATAAAATTTTAAGTTAATATTTGAGTTACATTCGGGAAAAATTGGAATTTCTACACAATAACCTTCTGAATGATTCTGAAAAATTGATGTAGCAACTGGTTCATACTTAATATTATTTTTGTGGAATTTATTGGTTATATCAGGAATAAGGAAAGATTTAATGGCTCTTGTAACAATAAGAAGTTTAAGAGGGGATTTTGAATTTTAATGTAATGAAGCTCTCTTTTGTCAGCAAAGGAATGCAATTCTACTAAGTTTCTTCTTTTTCTTTTTGAAATCTTTGAAAATTTACATCTTTGTCCTCATATTCTTGGATTTTTTGTTCATAGTAAGAGTAATCTGGGTATGTGTCTATATACCTTCGTCATAATTGCTCTTGTTCGATATTAAAGAGTTCTTCTACCGTGAATCGGGGCCTGGCTGTTTTTTGAAAGCGGAAGTTTCTTTGAGATTGGGGTCTATTGCCGGTTTGGCGTGTAAATACGCTAATAGGTGTTGGCTTATATGATTATCATCATGCTGTAAAAAAAATTATCAAAATTATATGTCTGGTTTTCCAGCTTTATACTTGGAAACAAGTAGTTTTTTAGAGTTTTTTTCGAAAACGAAAACATGAAGTTTGTTCAAAATTTGTCAAAATACTTCTAGTTGTCACATATACCTTCTCAATTTTTTTCAAATTTTTTTAATTTGTAGTTTGTTTTCTGGGGGGTGCAGATCAACCTTAAGTAGGAGCTAGTGTTTGGATTATGGTTGACTCAAATGATTGTGTAATCAAGCCATCTCAGCTCTGCAGTAGGAATTTGTTTATTCAACCATTTTTTCACCAATATTTATTTATTTATTAATGGAGTCCATTTACAAAAGTTTTAACAAAGCTACACCTTATAAATAATGAATCTTTTTAAATATCAAACATCTCAGAATAATAAACTAAACAAACTTTAATACAGCTATCAATGGTAGACTAGTATTGACATGTAAAAGAGATCACTTATTATAAGATACCTTGTTTTTTTTTAGATGTTAAAGTAATAAACTGATTTTGGAGTCGATATCATAATTAGTATAGTGAAATGGCTCTGAAAAGATTTCTGATTGTCTGTTGTTTCTACTTTGTACTTTAAGACTAATGAGTGATAACAATTAAGGACAATTTATAATAGAATTAATGACTTTCTGCAAGAAACATAAATCTAATAATGTCCTTCTTGACTTAAGTATTGATCAATACTGTCTCTTACCCACTGATAGTCATATTTCTCTCTCCAGTATTCACTCCTAAAAGCTGCTAGCTTCAAAAATGTATTTTGGATATTTGTAACATAGTAATTTTTACAATTATTTCATATTTTTCAGAAACCAAATTGGTAAAAGCAGTGTCAGAAGTGGCAAAGGATATAGGTGGTGATACAAAACAAACTGAATCAGAATTACTATCTAAACTCTTGGGCCCCGGTGACAGTACACCATCTTCTAAAAGTTTAAAGTAAGATGTAGTTTTAAAATTTTACTGTTAAAAATAAAACATTTCTTCTTGATATTGTTAGAATATGGATATGTCGAGCATCTCAGTGTGTTAAATATATTGTAGGAGAAATGTCACATCTATAAAAATTTATCTTATATTGTACAATTGGAAATATTCTGTTCAGATCAAATTTTTAGATACTCTTATGTTAGAGAGAATAAGACATAAATAATGTCATGTTTAATTATCTTTAAGTTGAGTCATATATTTAACATAAGCATTTTTGTTTGTTTTCGATTAATGTGTCATGCATCTATCCAATTTGGGTAACTTGGAGCAATGCTGTCGTGCTCATATTAATCTAATCGTACATATTTTTCAGCCATCAGTCTGCAATGCCTGATCCACGATTTCCTACTATTTTATACCATTTTATTAATTTTAACTTCTCGGGAATAACCGCGTTGAGAATGTAATGCTCGACGTTTCGGCACCAATTTTAAGCCATTTTCAAGAGTGATACGAGTTTGAGGTCTCAATCTGTCTACTACCCTCACTCGTAAAGTACCAGTATCGTATTCTATATAAATACAAGAACCGTCAAACGGCACTGAGGTCTCAATCTGCCTACTCCTCAATCTCGAGTGACGACCAGTCTTACCGTGTATGCTGCTTTTATATTACCAGTATGCTCGGGAACGGTATGCGCTGACGTGGTCTGAGCTGACATGGTCTGAGATGACGTGGCCTGAGCGGTGTGGGTTGGGGTGGGGGGTCGCTGAAGTAACGGTTGCCGGCAGTCATTTAGCGTCATCGCGTGGAATTTAAGGAGAGGATGGGAGCAATGGTTTTTGCTTTTTCGAAATCTGTTTTGTAGCCTGTCTGAATTTGATGTTGGGCTAGGGCTGAATTAGTATCGGAATGTTTGACTGATAGAGTTCGTCGTAGAGATAATGTTCGTCCATTCTCGTCAGATCCGTAAAAGACCAAATCCCCAATGTCGTTATTTGGACTTGACCCTAATCGATCGATATTTATGTACCGAAATATGATTCTAAGTATTAATATTTTCAACATCTATTGGCTCTAAAATGATACCAAATACAATGATTTTACTGGTCGATGTTAAAATGTATGTTTGATGTTAAAAATTTAATATATAAAAAAATCGGAATATTGAAAAACCGACAACGGTGCCAAGCCTACATATATACACAACAATAAATAAAATAACAATAAATATAAATAATAATAAATAAATAATTTATTTACTGGAAAAACATCAAAAATAAAATAAATATTTACCTCTACATATACACGCCATAATACACCTGTATGCATAACATGTTGCATACCATTAAGACAGGTTTAAAAATTAAAAAGTAAAATGACCCAAGATGGGTCTCTTCTTTCTTGAAAAGAAATACAATATTATAAGAACACCTAATTACATTTTAATCATATTTTTTTTCTTTCTGTTCTCTATGTATTAGACTTAAAACATACCATTAAAAGATGTCATAAACTAAGTTTTACTTACTATCATTACCTAAATTTTAAAAATTTTAGAATGGATTTTGTCGCATCATTTTATATTTTATAGGTGTATTATTAATGTTGAGTGTCAAAACTTTTTATAAATAAGCTCAACGACTAGTAAGTTGCACTGACGAATTGTGATATTTTGTAAATATTTACCTATTCTTCTTATTACAATATCTTGAAAAAGGAATAAAACAATTCCGAAAGCTTGACAAAAAGTCAAAAGAGTGTTTCTTTAACATCCAGGCCAAACTTCTGACCGCATCTCTAATAAACTATGTTGTTTTCCAGAAAAATATTAGAGAAAAAGATAATCTTTTACATAAGATCCCTTGTTAAAATATTTATAAACAAACAACTGTTGTGTTAAATTGGCTGAAACTTTGCAGACACGTAGCTTTGGTCTTGTTGATCAAAAGATCTCAGTGCCCCAAGATCCAGAAATCAATTGTTCCTCAGTTACATAGCTTAAAAGTGTCGGGTTTTTTGACTATTTGAATAATATGTATTTGAAGAATATACAGGGTGTTAGTAAATAAGGGGTCAACCTACATGAAAAAATAATGACAGTTTGCTATATACATATGTCCATAAATGCTTCGTTTTCCGAGTAGCGTACCATTTTCTGGGCTTCAAAGATTTCTTTAGAGTCTTACTTTACCAACGAGTCTGTTTTTCTTATATTGATATCGTTTTAATTTCGTTTCTGAGTTTCTATAATTCTTCATCCGTATTTAAAACAATTTCGCACAATGTATTGTTTAAATAATTTAATTTTTATAATTATATAATTTTTTTTTGAAAAAATTTCATTATAAACAATAACTGAAAATGATGGCAACATACATTATGATATATTGAATTTCTGTTTCTTTGAGTATCTGGTGCTATATATTACATTAAAATTGTGAAGTTTAGAATTTAGAAGATTTTTTTTCTCAGTATTTTTATATTTTAAACATCATAAAGTTTGTTTAAAAAACGATAACAAATCGAAAAATGTGAAGCAAGCGATTATTATATTTTAATATGTGTAAAATTCTGTTTTTTTAGTTATTTTTTTTATTTTATTTTTTTTTTTAATATTTACTGATTAATATTTTAGTGATATTGTCAAAGGAATGAAAATTGACAGAGAGGTAAAATCAGCTGAAAAATCGAGAGCTGAACAAATTAGAAATATCCTACAAAATATGCAACAAAAACAACAGCAAGATCCTAGGAAACCTCTATCTCAAGTGAGGAAACCACAGCAGCCATTTAAACCTAAACAAGAAATGTACGTATCTTTTAGACTTTTGGCCCATGTTTTTTCCATGATTGATTATAACTTGTAGTCGAGTAGTCAGAGAGTTGACTTTTAAAAATCATACGAACAAGCTGAATTTTGCAGAGAATATTAACTTTGGGATCCCAGGAAAGATGCAAAAAAGTTTACCATTTTTACCCCCGGACTTTCCCCGAAAATCCCCCTCGCAGGGCGGTAAAAATGCAATAAAAATCGATTAATCAAGAATCTGTACACTGTAGAAAAAAATGTTTCAAATAAAAAATGTAGCTAAGATAATTAAAAAAAATGTTTATAAGCGTTTTTTGTATACAATGAAACGTTCTCTTAGAAACAACGCTTGAAGCGACCGTCGATTTTGCATATCATTTACGCGCGCGAAATCAATGTTCAATAACATTTGTATCAGCTCGACGGCAAAAATTCGATATCTTTTGATCCAAATGTCCTATCGACAAAAATCAAGATGCGTTTTAAAGGCAAAGACTGCAGCTTTCGTATGCAGTTTTTGTATTTTGCCGAGAATAAACTCAGTTTTTATAAAGGTGTTAAATAAATACCCGTAGCGTGATTTTTGCCATTTTTTATGAGTCTCGTGATATCAATAGAATTAATCACTTTCATTGACCAGACGTAGTAAATTTCCATTTTTAGAGATCAATCTTTAAAACCTATCACTTGAAATTTCAATTTTGAGTTGTGGTAACAAATATGAGGAATTTGAAATATGAATAAAAACGCAGAATTTAATGTTAAACATTACGAACGATCACACGTCTCGTAAATGCTTTTAAGAAGACAGTTTTGAGTGTAGTTTATTGCAAAAGTTTTGTTCTTTTAAAAAACGTACTAGTGTAATTGAAAAAAAAGTTTGAAATGTTTTAGATCGTTTGTTGTGTGAAAGTGTAAATCCAGCGTTTTTTAAGCATATTTTAAATGCCTCACATTTATTGCCAAAACTCAAAACTAAAATTTCATGTTGTAGGTTTAAAGGTTAGGCTCTTCTAGAAATCAAAATTTCGTAGTGGTCAGTCAATGAAAGGGATATATTGTATTGATTTCATAAGAATCATAAAAAATTATAAAAATCGCGCCACGTTTATTTATTTAACACCTTTATAAAAACTGTGTATTTGCGGCAAAATACAAAAACTGTATCCAAAAGCTAAACTCATTACCTTTAAAACGCATTTTGATTTTTGTCGATAGGTCACTTAAATCAAAAGATATCGAATTTTTACCGTTGAGCTGATACAAATTTTATTGAACATTGATTTCGCGTGCGTAATTGACATGCAAAATCGACGGTCGCTTCAAGGGTTGTTTCTAAAAGAACGGTTCATTCTACACAAAAAATATCTATAAATATTTTGATTTAAAATTACCTCAGCTACATTTTTTTCTACCGTGTACAGATTCTTGGTAAATCGATTTTTTTGCGTTTTGTTCCCTGCGAGGTGGGTTTTAGGAGGAAGCCCGGAGGTAAAAGTGGTAAACTTTTTTGGGTACCAAAATTAATATTCTTCGCAATATTCAGCTGGTTTGTATGGTTTTTAGAGGTTCGGTGAAATTTTCTTCTCTGGTGACTGGAGTATTGTAGTTGTTTAAGGCTCTGTTGGAAATTTTCTGTTGTCTTTGACGTAAATCCAACTTCTCTAAGCTTTACTGCAGGTCTATTTCCCTTTTAATTATTCATACTCACCTGTTTTTAATTCGTTATTCTATTATATTCGTTATATTTATTCTGTCATCTATTTCTAAAAGTGTTCTTCGATCACAATACCTGTTTTGCCTGTATTGCGGCTGCATCTATTCAGGGAGTAACAGGTCGAAGACAAGACTAGGAGGGATAATAAAAGGGAGAATAAAAGGCAGGTTTCTGAACCATATTTCAGAGCTTTCGCATTGAATATGCTACATGTCATTTAAAGTGGTTGACAAGAGAAAAAATACTGCGTGTCTCTGTAAGAAAATATTTAAAAATACCTCTATCTTCGAGAAATAAATTTATGTAATTCGTTGTATAGAGACGGGTTATTAACAGGCATCAATGCCTGTCCTTTTCCTCTAAAAGTACGTTCTTCATTCACACTATGACAGGTTTCGCCTTTTGTGGTTTATCAGATAGTGTCAGGTCAAAGACAAACTTTGAAAAAAAAGGTAAAAACACTGTAATGATGATGAGTGGTGTTATGTTCATCCAAATACAAAGGTATACGGTAGAGTTCTTTTTTAATTATCAATTGTATATTTCTTAAGTTCAAATTACGTTCCACCATTTCTTTTTTACTACTTCTTGTCACCATATTATTCGAAAACTGTTTTGGAAATTATTACTTTTTTTATTATATCGTCGTTATTAAATAGACTGATATTTTAAATGAATTATTGTTCCTTCTGTGCAAATATTACTATTTGCATTTACCTTTTTTAATACTATTATAGTATTCTCATCTTACTACTCGTATCATTTTTAAGTTAGTCATATTTTGAATGTTAGATTTGAATTGGGATATAGTCTATTAGTTTTTCTTTATTCAATCGGTTAATTGACTGATTGAAATCCTAACTTTTCCTTGTAGTGCTTCTGTCTTCCGTAAATTTTTCTTATTTTGTGTCCTGTGTTTATGGTATGTTGTGCTAGGGATGAAGTCTTCTCTTTTCTTTCGATGGCGTTTCGATGTTCTTCGCGTCTAACTTGTATCCTTCGATTTTTCTGTCCGATGTACGATTTTTCGCAGTCCTTACACGGAATTATGTATACACCTTGATTTTCCAATTCAACTTTTGTTTTTGCCGATGGTAGTATGGTTGCGATTTTTCTGTCGGTGTTAAAAATAGTCTCTATTTTCTTTTTTCTTAGCACTCTGCTGATTTTGTCTGTCGTACCCTTTATATAGGGCAGGATAGTTTGTCCGACTGGTTTTTCTTCTTTTTCTGTATCTTTGCTTTTGTTTCGAGGTTTTTGTGCCTTTTCAATCGTAGACATGGAGAAGTCATTTTTTCTTAGAGCTATTTTGACTTTGTATATTTCTTCGTTCTTATGGTCCTCATCTGTCAGTTTCTCAGATCTTGTTATTAATGTTTATATTACCGAATTTAATTGTGCAGATTGATGGTGTGAGTCTGCGTGTAAGTACCTGTCAGTATTCGTTGGTTTTCGGTATACTGTGTGTCCTATGCTTCCATCTTCTCTCTTAATAACTAACACATCTAGGAATGGAAGTTGTTGGTTATTCTCCCGTTTCATGGTAAATTGTATTTTTTTATGGATATTATTAATGTGTTGTAGATTTCGAGCATTATGTTGTAAATAAATCAACATATACCAAATAACACCAATCCCTAACAACAATCTAATTAACAAATTAAACACAAACAACAACAAAAAAACAAAACAATACACCACCACACTCCCATTAATCACACAAACCAATACTAACCACCCCCACAATTACACAAAAAAACTCACTCAAACAAACACGCACCCTAATTTACATTAATCTAAAATTACACAAACACTAAAAATTCCCCTTATATAGAGAGAGCACCCATCTCCCACACAAATAAACCAAGCAAAAAACCTATAGAGACAAAACACCCCCACCACAACCCACAACAAACTCCACAACTCCAAACCCCAATCCATACAATACCAATACCAATACAACAACTAACAACAACCACAACAAACCACAACAACCAACCCCATAAAACAAACAAAACACTCAACAAACTTACATCATACCCCCCAAACAATCCCACCCACACCCAACACCCCACCCCAAAAACACTACACAAAAATAAAAAAAATTACCCCCACAAAACCCAACAAATCATTTCAAAACCCCAACCCACACACAAACCCCTCTACCCCCCCAAAACACACCCCACAAACAAACCCTCTAAAAAAAATCCTTCCCAATCATCCATCCCCTAAACAATCACCACACCCAACAAAAATAATAGAGAACCAACCCCAACCAAACTTACCCCCCCCCCCAAACTATACTCACATTCTCCACTCAAACCCACATCCAATTAACCCAAACCAACAAACTTAAATACATCCCAATTCAAAAATTTATCATCAAACCCACTATCCCTACAAAACAAATAAAATATAACAATATTAATTACCAAATATAAAAACACCATACCAAATTCTTTCATACACATACCAACTAAAAATCTAACTCAATTTCCCCTACATACTAATCCAACCTCAATAATATCCCAAAAAAGTAAACCTCATTACAAAACCCATTTACAACACCAAAATCCCCCCACAATATGTCTATTGAACCACCCCATAAACACATAATCCCATTTTATTATATAATTACTACTTAAAAGTATTCCTTTAATAATCAATCTACTTTATACAAAACCTCATTTTAATAAACTTCAATCAGGCCCAAAACTTTTTTTCCCTACAATCACTATTTCGTGACCATTTTTTCTTTTCATCTCTTCCCAGCTTTTAATATTGTTCCTATACTTTTTATGTATAGCTATAGAAACTCCTCTTTGTATTCTTGAACTTTTACATACTCCACTTTAGAAATGGAAATTGATTCTCCACTTATTTTATTGCCTTTTCTCTTTGTTTCTGTATGGACACATAGATCTCCCTTATTATTTTTAAGTTCTTTAAATACTTTGATTTCTTTCGTTTTGAGACCCTGCATGTTCCATATCGCCATTCTCTATTTCCGTCCAGATTTCGAGGCTTTTAATTGAAACATTTAGTGTATGTAGTTTTTACAAGCAATGAGCCGCTAGCCCATTGTTTCAACCCTCTTCCTTTACTCGGATTTGGGACCAGCAGCAGCCCACTGAGCTACTCAATCCTCCCAATTTACTGTAAGTGGAGTTGAAAATGATATTTTATAACAAATATTTGAAACAATTTTTAGTTTCATTTAAAAATTAAGTTCGTTCTAAATACAGTATTTATTAGCTAACATTGAAATATTTTCTTCGAGATATTATCTCAATATATGTATTGTAGAATACTATATTATGAAACCTAGTTGTAAATTGAAACACGCAATACAGACTATCTATAAACTCTCCAAGTTTTAATTTTCCCGCTTGTATTCCTTTTTTCTGTTAGCATTTCTTAGATATGTTTCTACCATCAACTATCTATGAACAAATATGAACTAACTTCCTCCTTCCTATGGGACTGCATTTGGTTATTTTCTTTATCGAATTGAAAAAGACTGTAAGACTTGTACACACTTCTAAATAGGTCTAACTGGTAAGCAGGTTTTGTATGTTTTCAATAAAATTGATAGTGTGTAAATTAATTTATTAATTAAGCTAAGTATACTTTCGACATAATAAATGTCATCATCAGAGCTATCCTAAAATAACGCTAAGTTAAGTAAATTTTTTTATATAAAATACAATGATAGAAAAAACTTACGTCAATTAGGCAATAAATACTTCATAGAAGGAAAATTGTGGACAAACGACATATTAAAAATCAAAGATCGGGCTCTGTAGGCCACAGATCTTGGGTCTAACCCTTATACATATGTATAATTCACATTAAAAAGTTTTTTATAAAACATGGTTACCACATACAGTAACGACAACAGCTGTCTTTGACTTACATTTTTGAAGTAAAATGAAAATGAAATAGGAAGCTCGGATATACGGAAATAAATCCGAGAGCGACCTCTGTATTTAAATTATTAATTAAAAATTGAAAATGTCTAAAATGACGTCTGAAGGTTATTGATTATTACTTTTAGCTACTGTAGAATTTTAAATTTAAATATTTTAAATTGATTAGTTAACGTGAAGATTTAAAATATACATTTATCAATATTATCAAAAAACAAAACTTTAAAGTTTGACCAAGTAGAAGAAAGTAGATGAAAACCAACCAAGGAGAAGTATCATTTGCTAAGTTAAGAGTTCAATAGCTATTATTGATTATCAATATTATTAATAAAATAAATAATGAAGAAGAAAATATCAAACATTCTCTATGTAGATGAAATCAATGAAAGAAAATTTAAGAAATTCTCTCTTTTAAATCTCTTTTAAAAATAAAGGTCAAAGCTTGATCAAATGATGGTTAATTTTATACTAAGTGTATTATTAAAGAAACTTCTTAAATATTGGATCAAACTTACAATTTAAGTTAATTTGAGTGTTGACACAGTTCTGAGGATTCCTTTTCATTTCTCTACTGATTTCAAGATCTTCTAGTAAATTCATTTTTATATAATTATTATTGGGTATACTGTGTAGGATCTTGCTATCTCTATGAGGACTAAAGCCATGCTTTGAAGCATGTATATGATTCCCAAAACTAGATTGATCAATCTTAGACAGATGTTCTTTAATGCGTATATCCAAAGGTCGCATTGTTCTACCCACATAGGTCACCGGGCATTCACCACAGGATAATTTATAAATACCACTTTTTGACGATTTGTTGATTTTGTCTTTAGTGTGGGAAAAAATAGATTTGATATTTTCTTTAACTTTGAAAGAAAGTTTTAGATTAGGGATGTTTTTTAAGATTCTGACTATATTATCTGAGGGATAACCTATGTACGATATTGATCGATAAATAACTGTCGAGTTAGAAATGTTATGGACAGTGTTGTATGCTAGTGATCTATTCATTTTATTCCTTAATTTGTTGAGTATGTTATCAACCAAAGTAGGGGTGTAACCGTTACTATAAGCAAGTTGTTTAATAATTTCTAATTCTGATTTAAAATTTGAATCTGACAGAGGTAAGCTAAGTAAACGATGGATATAGCAGTAAAAGGAGGCCATTTTCTGTTGAAAAGGATGATTAGAAGATCTAGGGATGGTATGGTCAGTCTGAGTTGGTTTTCTGAAGACTGAAAAATTTAATTTGTTATCTATTCTAGTTAATGTTAAGTCTAGAAAATTAATAGAATTGTTGGATTCTGTTTCTAAGGTGAATTTTATAGCTGGATGTAAGTTGTTAAGTGAAACTAGGATATTGTCTGCATCTGAGGAATTTCCATCTATGATAGCTAACACATCATCCACATATCTGAACCAATATAAAACTTTTTGAAACGAGTTTTGATTCAGAGAAAGATTGTCAAATATATTAATCTCCAGGTTATTCAGAAATAGATCTGCTAGCAAAGGTGATAAGGGATTGCCCATTGCCAATCCTTGTACCTGTTTATAAATAATATTGTTGAAAGAAAAGAAATCTTGTGAAAGACAAAATTTAAGTAAACCCAATATGTGAAAAATTGTATCTCTATTAATGTTGTTTTTAATAAGTAATTTCTCAACTATGGAAATGGTTTCATCTCTAGGTACATTTGTAAACAAATTACTTACATCAAAGGAAACTAGAAAGAAGACTCTAGGTAAATTTAAAACTGACAATTTATTTACTAAGTCTGTATAGTTTTTGACAGAAAAAGTGGGTTGAACAGATATTGAGGATTGTAATATAGAATTGATGAATTTGGACAATGTAACAACTGGTGTGTTATAAAAACTAACCACTGGTCTCATAGGGGTGTTAGGTTTATGAATTTTTGGTAAACCATATAGTCTTGGTATTTGCGGATTTGACAAAATGAAGGTTTTCTCTATCCTGTTATGTGATAGATTTCCTACAATCACATAACAGGATAGAGAAAACCTTCATTCTGTCAAATCCGCAAATACCAAGACTATATGGTTTACCAAAAATTCATAAACCTAACACCCCTATGAGACCAGTGGTTAGTTTTTATAACACACCAGTTGTTACATTGTTCAAATTCATCAATTCTATATTACAATCCTCAATATCTGTTCAACCCACTTTTTCTGTCAAAAACTCTACAGACTTAGTAAGTAAATTGTCAGTTTTAAATTTATTTGCAATGCGACCTTTGGATATACGCATTAAAGAACATCTGTCTAAGTTTGATAAATCTAGTTTTGGGAATCATATACATGCTTCAAAGCATGGCTTTAGTCCTCATAGAGATAGCAAGATCCTACACAGTATACCCAATAATAATTATATAAAAATGAATTTACTAGAAGATCTTGAAATCAGTAGAGAAATGAAAAGGAATCCTCAGAACTGTGTCAACACTTAAGTATTTAATTACTACCAGTAAATTGTAAGTTTGATCCAATCTTTAAGAAGTTTCTTTAATAATACACTTACTATAAAATTAACCATCATTTGATCAAGCTTTGACCTTTATTTTTAAAAGAGAGATTTTCTTAAATTTCTTTCATTGATTTCATCTACATAGAGAATGTTTGATATTTTCTTCTTAATTATTTATTTTATTAATAATATTGATAATCAATAATAGCTATTGAACTCTTAACTTAGCAAATGATACTTCTCCTTGGTTGGTTTTCATCTACTTTCTTCTACTTGGTCAAACTTTAAAGTTTTGTTTTTTGATAATATTGATAAATGTATATTTTAAATCTTCACGTTAACTAATCAATTTAAAATATTTAAATTTAAAATTCTACAGTAGCTAAAAGTAATAATCAATAACCTTCAGACGTCATTTTAGACATTTTCAATTTTTAATTAATAATTTAAATACAGAGGTCGCTCTCGAATTTATTTCCGTATATCCGAGCTTCCTATTTCATTTTCATTTTACTTAAAAAATGTAAGTCAAAGACAGCTGTTGTCGTTACTGTATGTGGTAACCATGTTTTATATAAAAAAACTTTTTAATGTGAATTATACATATGTATAAGGGTTAGACCCAAGATCTGTGGCCTACAGAGCCCGATCTTTGATTTTTAATATGTCGTTTGTCCACAATTTTCCTTCTATGAAGTATTTATTGCCTAATTGACGTAAGTTTTTTCTATCATTGTATTTTATATAAAAAAAAATTACTTAACTTAGCGTTATTTTAGGATAGCTCTGATGATGACATTTATTATGTCGAAAGTATACTTAGCTTAATTAATAAATTAATTTACACACTATCAATTTTATTGAAAACATACAAAACCTGCTTACCAGTTAGATTTTCTTTATCCATCTGCTGTCACTACTTCTGCTTACATGACCACTTTAGTCAATTTTGGTCTATATATGTTAGTATGCCTGTTTCTATTGGTGTTCTTTGCTTTATTCCTCATTACTTCTCCTATCTATTGCATCTCTGTTGCTACTATCTTACTGCTGTTTTTCTTGTTTTTAATCCAATTTTCAGCCCCATATATCATAATACCTCGCCTAATGTTTTATAAATCTGTGTTTTTGTCTTTATATTTAGGTGTCTATCCCACCATACTGAGTTAACTAATCTTTGCTTAATTTCTTCCTTTGTTGTTGCCTTTTTCGTGATTATAAAACTTCATTTTTGGAAAAAAAATTCTAATTTTTATGAACATTAATTTTTTTTTGTTTACAGAGTAGTACAAAAAATCGACCTCTTTGGTAGCAAGCCTTTAGGTATCTTTACCAACAAGGACATGCAAGAGAATGAAACAAATACTTGGCAGAAGTTATACGAACGGGATTTAAAATTAGCAACCACACATCCTCCGTCAAATTATTTCCAACAAATGATTTTGTGGACAGAACAAGGGAAACTCTGGAAGTTTCCCATAGACAATGAACAAGGTACTAAATGTCACTACAAAATATTGTTTTATTAACTTTGACCTTTTAAATATTTAAACTTTGAACTCATTTCTTAAATTCTCGTCTTGTGTTGATAATTATTATTATCAAAGTCGTTTAAAATATCAAAATATGCTTCATACTTTTACTTTTTTTTAGTTTATCTTTGAAAACTGTTGATGCATTTTTCTATTGCACTATATGTTTTCTGTTCGAAGCAGATTTGAATGTAAGAGTCATTCTTATTTATTTCAATATTTAGTGGCCTGAATAAAAATTTTGAACCTTGAGTGAACAAAAATTTTAAAGTTTTCTTGATAAATCTGTGTAGAAACTGTAAAGATAATTTATATATCTTTTGAACTGGATACTTAGCTATATACCTCTCAGATGAGTTTTGAAAACAGATCAAAGTGTCGTTATCGCATCATTGATGATGAAAGTATCGTCGGCATATCGCAGTCAACATGTGTGATTGAGAAGTGATGAGGCCATTGTCATCAGGCCTCGGCATATTTCATTAAAATATTAGTCATAACTGGAGAGAGTGATGAGTAATACATTTAGTTTGTAAAATAGTTGATTTTGGAAAATTACCTAATTGGACATGGTCTCAAAATTCAGTTTTCGATCACATTTTTATACTTCACAATACCAGTAAAAAATGTGGCAAGTTCTGGAAAACTTTCTACTAAATAATAAATTCATTCCAGCAGGAAAGGAACTCTAAAAACAAGCCACGTCAAAAACGAAACTAAGAAATAAACTAGGAAATATCAGAAGAATTCCTAGCAACAAATGGATTGTGAAAATATATCCAATTTATTTATTTATCGTATGGCACTTGACACTCTCTCTCTTCAATCCTGACCTCCCAGGGGGAGTGTAGTGGTCGACGTGATGTCGTATATTGTCCGTCTCCAGAGATCTCTGTCTCTGGTCATTTCTTTTAATTCATGCATAGGTCTTTGGCATATTCCTGTAATTTGATCTATCCATCTTGTTGGGGATCTTCCTCGTGATCTTGGGCCTTCTACCTTTCCTTATATTATGAGTCTTTCCATGTTTTCTGTGTTTGCTCTCATAACATGCCCAAAATATTTTAATTTTTGGAGATGGACTTTACTAGAGAGTCATTGGCTAACTTTTAGTTCTCTTAAAATTGAATTATTTGTTCTACGGTCGGTCCAAGGAATTCGTAACATTCGTCTCCAACAGAACATTTCAGTGGCGTCTATCTTTCTTCTCTCCGATTGTCTCAGAGTCCAAGATTCACATCC